CATTATTGTGTATAGCTCATTTATAAATATTAAATATTTATCTAGCAGCTACATTGTAATTTATTATTAACCCCGCCCATTATAATGTAATCTAAATAATAGTAAACATAGATAGATAATAAAAATCATAAAATAATAAATACCTGGCTCACATGTAAATGTCAAACTGGGGTAAAAATAATAAACACACACAGCGATCAGGGTAACGCCAAAGGAAAACACAATTAAAAAACAAAAGTTTATATAAAATTAAATATTATATAAAAACGAGAAACGAAAAAATGTTTTTTAATATATTAATAATGAATTGAAAACTAAATGAAAATTAAAATTAAATTTTTTTGTAACGAATTTAGTGGCGAAATGTGTGACTGTTTTCCGGGAAGTATCGCTAGCACTGACTGCCAGACACTGACTGAACGTACGGTACGTTTGGCAACGCATTGGCGTTACGATCGCTAAACATGGCGTTCACTACAGTCTATACTCGCTATGAATATCACACTTTTTAATATATTATACACTACAAATATAATATCCTGAATATATAGAAAAGTATTATTATCATTAGATCACTTTAATAAGCTAAAATAAATGAGCTAAAATAATTTCTATTAATTTGTGTACTAGTTGAATTAGTTTATTACTATTAGTGTATGTGATATTTACTATAGGTATATAGCTCAATAGATGGCACCTTGGTTATTATTAGCCCTGTTTTGGGTAAAAGTTTTTATCTAAAGTTCCAAGTTAATTTATTTTATTTATAGATGTTCATTTAAACAGGGTTACAAGTTATCTAGTTAATTTTAGTATAAATATAATTTAGAGAGAGAGAGAGAGAGAGAGAGAGAGAGAGATACTACTAAAGTTAACATTAACTTATCAAGTTTACTATTTACATAATATTATGGCATACATAAGTTGCCCCTAAATAACTATCAAAATGTAATAATCAAGGTTTTTATTAATTTAATAACCCTGGACACTCACAAAGATCGTAACATTATATAAATTTACTCATAATTAATTTTAAAAAAAGTTATGAAATTAAATATACAGTCAAATGTGTGTCACAATGAGAAACGAGTTTTTGAAAAAATTGAATCAAATATAAAAAATTTAAATTTTATCAAACATATAACTTAGCATACACATACAATATATTTAGTACACTATACAACGATGCTACACTATATTTATTTATTTTTCCGGTTCACACACTTTCCAGACATATCTATACTATACTCTCAATTATTTCACATAACTGTTCCCGATTATACTGTAATCATATAGCCTGAAGGGGGTGTGTAGGAAGGGGGGCCTCTAAGAAATGTCAACCGACACACTTCACTAATTATATACACTATACCGGTCCCGTACTGTATTTATACATATAAGGGGCGATTAAGGGGGCAGTGGTTATATGTCACCAACTTTTGTGTCATTTGACTGTATGTCGAGGCAATGCAATACTATTTATAATTATATGTAAACAGTGCTGGCAATTAATTATAACTGGTTCATTATACAGTCAGGTTTACAATATGGAGTACCAAATATTTTATCTTGATAAAATTTAATATGCAAAAAAGTTAAGTAGCTAATGAAGTTTACAAAAGTTTTAATATTAATACTTTATGTCATTATAGTAAAACATAATATATAAAATGCTTATAACCCAATAAAATGTCCTCGATAGAATATTCTATTAATTATAAACAAACTATAAACAAAAATTAATTTAAATAACATGATCCTGGACACTTTTAAGGAACAGTATAAACAACCTTTATATAGCCGGCAATAGTACTATAGTGCTGGTGAACGGCCGCCAGAGTGCACCGCATGCGCGCAATAAGCCATGCATTGAATGTCCAAACGCTATACACATTGAAAGTCATTGAATGCCAACAAAAATGGCTTTTTTCGCGAGAAATGCCTACTTTTTCGGCACCAAATTCGTGGCCAAACACAAGGTATACCCTAATTTTCTCATCCCATTCCCCTTCACTAACGTCTACCGTTCCCCCGGCAGCTGCTGACCACCGGCGCCGGCCTACTGGGCGCCTCCAGCGTCGGGCTATACTACGCGCTGAACGAGTCGGTCAAGGCGTCCGATCTTGAACTCCACGCCCCGTCCTATCCATGGGCTCACAACGGAGTGCTCAAGAGTTTCGATCATCAGAGGTATGCCTACTGCCGGTCCCGACCTCCCGGTGCCCTCCACGGGGTCGGTGTCGCAAGCGATGGCCCGGTGTTTGAGTGTATATCTCAAGTGGTTGTTCACCGTCAGTGGTGTATCACGTGATCCGTGGCTACCGTTTAGGGGCGGCCCGGGGTTTGGCTATAGTTTTGTGGAGTTTAGGAGGTGTTTGTGCGACAGGGGGTGTAGTGGTGGCCTTATAGAGGGGTTAAATATGGTTTGTTTAGGTGTTTAACAGTCACTAGCGGTTTGTGTTATGATTGTATGTGTTATGCGATAGATATCGGGGTTTGTCGGTAGCTATGAGTCGATTCACTAGCCCGTAGGCCACAGTCGGAGTCCCTCCCAGTGTTTGACACATTTGTGCCCTATTTTTGGCGTTAAATTTGATGTCTAATTGATTTTTTGTGGCATTAATTGTTGTTTTTTTCGTTGCAATACTAGTATCCGGAGGGGGTATGAGGTGTACAAACAGGTGTGCGCCGCCTGTCACGGCTTGAAGTACGTGTCCTATCGAGAGCTGGTCGGTGTGTCCCATACGGAGGCCGAGGCCAAGGCGGAGGCGTCTGAGGTATGTCTACCACCCCTTATCATCGGCTAACACATAACGCTGTGTTAACCCGTAATCACCGGTATATTTGGACCAAAAAGTCGAGATTTATTCCGTGTATAGCGTATACGTACGAGTGAACGGACCCTTTATATAAATACCCAATGAAATGTGTTATAAAATAGCAATTCGTAGCAAATCTCCACTTTTTTGAGACCCAATTATAGCTATAATTTGTCATAATTTGTGATTAATGTGTGTTTTGTGTCATTTTTTGGCGCAATTTTTGACGGCTGTCCCCATAGATCCAAGTGCTGGACGGACCGGACGACACGGGAAAGATGTTTCTACGGCCGGGAAAACTGTTCGATCAGTTCCCGACCCCCTATCCCAACGAGGAGGCCGCCCGGGCAGCCAATAACGGTGCACTCCCTCCCGATCTCAGTCTCATCGTACTGGCCAGACATGGCAACGAGGTATGGCCTCCCGTTCCCTCTTTATACACGATTCAGTGTTGTGCCGAAGGCACCGGTAGCCTATGGTTGCGTTAATTGGTGTTTAAAGTGTAGTTAACTATTGGATTAATAGGGGATTCATAGCAATTAGTGTATCATTGCTATCGATAAGTACTGTATCATCAAAAACCTACCGGTGCTCTGAGATTACAGTGAATTGGCGTTATTTTTAACTGAATGTGAACTGATTTTGATGTGTCTCTATATATACGACAATAGGATTACATATTTTCTCTGCTGACGGGTTATGTGGACCCACCGGCCGGCGTGACACTGGCGGACGGCATGCACTTCAACCCGTACTTCGCGAGCGGGTCGGGCGCTATCGGTATGGCTCAGGCGCTGTACAGCGAGGCCATCGAGTACTCGGACGGCACGCCCGCCACGCAGTCCCAGATGGCTAAAGATGTGGTCAATTTCCTGAGTTGGGCCGCGCAGCCCGAGCACGACAAACGCAAACAGCTCACCATCGATGTAAGCATACCGTTCCCCCCGAACCCTACTTCACCCATAGACCACTACCTGTCCCTTATGTTGAGTAGTGTTTTGTGGGTTGAGTTTAATTGGCACTGAAATTGAGTTTTAGTTTTATTTGTTTGTTGTTTGAGTTGTGTTTTAGTTGTGTTGTTAGATATCTGTTTAGACTACTGTTACCCTTAGCATACTTTCCCTCTATTATCTTATGTGTATGAGTGGCTACTTAATGAGTGATTGAGTTATCGATTTGTGTGTTTACCATGATTTAGATCCCTTTCCCCACCATTTGTATCCAAAACTCAATTCCCTTTCCCTCTTAACATACTGTTTATATTTTTAAACAAAACTTTTTTGCTGTTATTTTCTAAACTTATTGTGTGTTTGAACGGGAACTCCAGGTGTGCCTAATACTGGTGCCGTTGACGCTGATGATGATCTACTGGAAGCGCTTCCTGTGGTCGACACTGAAGTCGAGGAAAATCATATTCAGAGAGCCATCGAAACCGCCGACAAAGAAGTCTTAGTTCACAACACTTTAGACTTTATTGTAATGAAAATATAATAGACTTTTAATTATAAATAATAACGAATCAGTAGTTATTTAAATGTGAGACAAATTTTTTGAAATTTTAATTATTATTGAGATTTAAGACTAAATTTTAGCTCAAAAATAGTTAATAAAAATTGATTTTTTCGATGGGAAATGACTTTTTGTTAACTATTTTTATGGTTTCAATCATTAATTGTATGAATGAATGGCAAAAAATAAGTTTTTGTATAAATTGTTTGATCATTTTGTTTGATTAAACGGTTTATTTGTTTTTATTATTAATTTAATTATTGTTTAGGCTTTTCAATATAATTCAATATATTTCATAAAATATAATTAATTACAAAATTTTACTTAAAAATTGTGACTAAAAATAAAAAATTAAATTAAATTCAAAGCAAATGTTTTTCAAATGAATAGCTTATTGTAATGTCTATACAAATGATCGCAATTTTTGACAATCGGTTGCCTTTACTTATTAGCAATAAGTTTGTGGTTTATATTGAATTTTGTGTATAATTTTAGTGTTTATTTTAATATTTATGTTTTCAATTCATTAAATTATTATTAAAAGTATTTAAACGATATTTGAATTTAATTCAATATTAATACCGTATATTTCTCACGTTACATAACCTGGATTATATAGTTTTTTATCATAATTACTTATAATTAAAAGGTATTAAAATTATTTTTTACAAAAATTTAATAAATATTCAAAGAAATTAATATCATTTTCATATTACATGTATAGTATAGTAATATAAATTATAGTATTAAGTAAAAGTAAAAGCTATTAAAATAGTATTAATTGTTAAATGAATTCATTTCTGTGTGAATCTATGTTAATCAGTATATTCAGGGATAACTTAATAGCTGGCAATTCTAGACACACAGGTATACAGGTAGCACAGGTAGCAATATAAGTAGATATTATAGAGTTGAGTTTAATTGGCACTGTAATTACGGTTAGTAAATTTGTTTATTAATGTTTTGATTATTTGTTTTGAGATATTAGAAAACTAGAAATGTATTGATTGTCAATGTTTCATGTAATATACAAATTTGTACACTAATAATCAATAATTTTACACATAATAAATAGTTTCAAAATTATAAATTATAATTTATAATGGATAATTAATTCATTTTGTGTTATTATTTCCTTAATTACTTAATTATTGATCTCGTTAAATAAATAAAACATACAAAAAGCGAGTAAAACGTGTATAAAATATGATTTCTATGTAAATATAAAAGTGTATAATAATTGTTTGTTATTACATGTATGATATTTTTATTGACAATAAACACATACTGTAAATAAAATACTGTATAATCATAATATAGGGGCATACACACAAAAAACTGTGTGGGGGAAACTTGAGTAGCTCGCTAACTACAAGTCCGAGATTGAAACGGTAAAAAGTATTATTAAGATCTATTTAATGCAGAACTTTTACACTCAAAATAAATTTTATCAAAATTTACAGTAATTGAAATAACGGAATGAACGCAAAGGTCATAGGTACAGGTCAGGGTAGAGGTCATGGGTCAAAAGGGTTAAGTG